ACCAATATTAAATATCAAAGGTCAGTAGTCAGGTTTGGCAACTGGAGAAGTTTTTGATTATAATACCAGTGTAGATTAATGCACCAGTTATCTCGGATAGTTGCTGATTCAGGGGTGGTTAATTATTAAATATAAGGAATTAAGGTAGCCTTCATGTTTCACAGTGGCCAATAAACTTCCCAACAAGTATATTTAACAAGATTGAACATCGGCTGGTCCAATTGTGCTTGTGGTCTAATCTTTATTTGATATAGATTAATTTTATCCCTAATGTTTATGTGTATATTGTTCGTGGCCATTACTTTAACTTTTCTCTATCTCTACACTGCCCAATGATTTAACAGACAAATTTCCAGGGACCCTACAGGCTGTTTTACCAGAATAGTCATGGTAGAGAAAGTCAGCCTTTGCCATAGTGGTCACTTGAGTCACTGCAAGCACTGGTTTTTGTATATAATTGCACCATTACATAACTCTTGGGAAGATTAATTCATATATTATTGTGTTTCTTGGCTTATGTATAAGCCAGTATTGTTTTATTTTTCTTCCCTCATGGCCCATTCTGGATAATGAACCAATCCCTTTGCACATGAATAGATAGAATGCAATATTTCTAATGATATTCCTCTAACTTCCACACTGCTTCAGGTGTAACTAATTAATGCTCTGCATACTGTGATATTTAACAAATATTCCTAATATATCTTCAAAACTGTATACATAAAGCTCTACAAAAGACATTGGTTATACAGTTTCATGATTTATTAAGAATAAATGCATATTATTTTTTACTGAATGTGTTTTTTCCTGAGTCTGATGAACATGGCTTTCAATAGTAATAAAACTACTGGTAAAATTTAAAAAGCACCTTTTTAGGATAACAGGTGATCTTGGATAACTTCTTTCACTCATCATACAAATGATAAAAGGGATAAGACTCATAACATTGTTGCAAATTAAAAATGATTGTCAGTTTTTGCCAGTGACAGCCTTGACATTGATTTTGAGATTTGTTCTTATGGAAAGTTTATTACACATCCTTACCTCAGTAATAGCTGCCCAAAATAGAAAAAAATCAGTTCACTTAAGATGAGTAAAATCAGATATTGATAGATTAAAACTTACAATTGTTTTCTTTTAACAGATATGATATCAGTAGCACTTGGAATTAAGAGGAAGAGGATGAAGAAAATTCAGGGTGTATATGCTCATTCCAAGGTATCTGCTGCAAATTACTGAAATGTGTGTAAATGAAACATACCAGTAACACAGTCTACAGGGACCAGCTGTTTACAGGATTGCACAGTTTAGAGTGATAGTGATGTAAGGTGAAAATATATTAGTGATACGAGATGAGGGAGATCTAAGTGTGTGTACCAGACAAACATGCTAAGAGGGTCTGGCTGCACTTGATGAGGAAGACTATACAGAAATATGAGAAGTGCACGTATAGTCATCACTAGTCGTAGCTTTTTAAGAAGTGAAAACTAAGTCAGTAATGTTAAACCCGGTGAAAATGTCTGAGTGAAAGAAGGGCCATTTTTAGGACTAAGAAACTTGGGAGAAAGAAACACAGTGAACTCCGCAGACCCATTATATACATCTATAACTATGGCAAATTGTTGCATTAGTGGGAGTTTCCAGATGGTCCTTGTATGTGCTGAATGTAGTAGTGACTTAATAGAGGAGAACTTTGGAAGACACATATCAGCTTGCTCTGGCACAAAGTGTCGAAGAGCATTGTCTGACTTAGTATGGAGAGCATATCCACATAATGTGACACTAAGCATTTGCACATCTCCCTGTTTAGATGTTGGGTGTTCACATCTAGTGCAACTGCTCAATATTGCCCTTTGTACCCATTACATATATCTAAACTCTTATAGTTTCTTACGGAATTGGAGTAACTTTGAAGAAAAAAATATGCCTTAAAGGGAGTTGTGACAAGACTAAATACTGATTGTAAATCATGTGTGGTGTACAACAAAATACATTGAATGATTATAAATCATTTGTGATGTTCCAGTGAATGCTTTCAACTGATTGTACATTGTATGCGATATACCAGACAAATGCTTTTCTTAAGGTTAATAAGAAAATAGATTTTTTGTATGAGGTCACACAGCATAAGCATGTAGCTTTAGCCAATAAGTGTTTTTCCAAATGTAATGCATGGTTATGTTCTGGTCAGTAATGAACAATCCTATGAGACAGAATGCATATGGGATTTCTGTTTTACAATTCACATGTGATTCAAATTGGATCAGAGGTTTGTCTCGTTTGTACTGAAACTTAATATTCAGGTTTTGTGAATAACGGATACTCATACAAGAAAAAAAAATGATTAAATTTACAGAAAATGCAACGTTTATTTAAGTCCTATTTGGTTATGAATGTGCTTATTTGAGAATGAAGTAAATGTAAAAAGATATCATTAAGAGTTTTACAAAAAGTACATAGTTCTTAAACCTCTAAAGATGATATTTAACACAGCAGTGGATATATTGTCAGCATTAATGCATGAATGTACAGACTCCTCATAATTGTGTATAGAGGATGACATTTGTAAGTTGTCATGAGTTATCTTGATGGGTTAGTGTTGATATACATACACTTTTTGTCTCTGTTTTGTCCTATCTGAAGTGTAGTATGTTGGTATATGGCATGATGCTGTATACACACGTATATCCTAATATAATTTGAATAATTATGATTCCTAATATTATATTTTCAAATATTAAATATTATTCTTGCAAATAAGATTTTGCTTATTTGTAATTTTATATAATGGTTGTATTCCAGAGTTGTATATATCGGAGAAGTTTTGTGAAGTGTGTAAATATATACAATAAGCTGTTAGAGGAGGCATGAAAGTGCTATTGATCATGCTGAAGATCAATAAGGGTCATTATCCCATGAATCAAAATTTTAGTTAAGAATCCTTAGCTTTACCAGTTTCAAAGAAAGGGAAGAAAAGGACATTGGTATTTGGAAATGGGGAAAATAAGAACATAAATGTGTTCAGGGTATCTTCTGCGAGTCTGTGCTAGAAAGGTGTCTTCAATAGAGGTATGTTATCACTGTGAGGTTGTTATTTAGGATTTTTAGCTTGAAGGAAGATAAAAAGGAGAGGATAAAAATAAACCCTGAATTCTTAAATATAAGATTTACTCATAGAAAATTATAATACATATATAAAGTCATATAATTGGCATTGCTTTCATGTTATTATGGATGTGTTACATAAACAAAGACTATTTTTCTTTTTGTATTACTTCCATCCGTATTATTTTACCCTGTGTGAAGGTCAAAGCTAGGAATACATTATACATGTATATGTATGTATATTTATGTTTGTGTATGTGTGCATCTGTGTCTGTCTGTTTGTGTCCTTGAATATGTTTGCATCTGTGTGTGTGTGTGTGTGTGTGTGTGTGTGTGTGTGTGTGTGTGTTGTGGTGTGTGTGTGTGTGTGTGTGTGTGTGTGTGAGTGTGAGTGTGAGAGAGAGAGAGAGGGGGGGGTGTAAATGTGTGTAATTATATCCTCTCATTGTCCATTAGCACAGGTAATTGGCTTTAAATTACAGTGATTAAAGAAGTATGTAAATATTTTCTAATGTACTTTTCATTCACAAATTTTAAACAGTAGACTTAAGCGAGAAGAAAAAGTGGACTTTTTACATTAGAAATTTTCTTAAGAAAAAAAAATCCACTGTTAAAGCCAAGAAATGTACAATACCCAACTGATTTATTCATTCAAACATTATTCATGAGGGAATCAATGAAAAATCTTACTGAAGTCAAAGTAATCTTTTGAAACTACCACTTGAAGATTGCAAAAGTTGGTTGCAACAAGTTTGTAAAATTTCAAAACAATTAACTGCATGTATACCAGCTGTTATTTTATCTGCTGATGGAGCCAAGAAGACTTGTATGACAAATAAGTAACTTTTTTCTCCTAAACAAATATAGTACAGTTGGGGAGAAATACAGTTACAGGAAAAAGTTTCAAATGTACACTGATAATCAAAACTGTTCATTAATGGAACACGATTGATTAGAAAAAAAAAAAATGAAAGTAAGATCATCATAAATCATTATGACATGTTTATACACATGAGAGACTGTTTGTTATTTCCTTTTTATAGAATGAAGATTTATTATTCAAACTAAACCTATTTTATCATGTTAGAAGTTCATATCTTGGAAATAATTTTAAACACCGAATATGAAATGGGTAAATTACGATATGCTTGGCTCCTCTTTGGCTCAAAGTGTATTGTAATAAAATTTTATTTGTATCAACCTGAAGCTAATGATATGACTGTCACTTTACTACTGCTGAGTAGTTGCATGAGGTTAGTACGTGTATTCATTTAAAATCAGCTCATGCTTATGCCATACTTTTCTTGTTACATTACAGTGACATATACTATCTTTGTAATGAAATCCAGTTCAGATAATCAGCTTGCTGAACTTACTTTTTAAATACTCGATAATGGTATTTGGTGATACATTTATTTCCCCTGATTTCTGTAATCTTTATTTAAGACTATTTTTTAACCATTCTTATGAGAGTAGACATTTTTTATTTGTTTTTTGTTTAGTACTATATGTAACCTCTCATAATATTTGTGTCATGATATTAAATCTTATCCATAAGAAATGATTATACAAGTTTTCACAGTGGTCATATTTAAGAGACAATATTCATCTAATGTAACTTTGTACTCATACTACATTTTCTAAATACCACTTCATTAATGTACACAAAAGTACTGTACCCTTTTTACCAAGGATGAGCAAACACTGTTATTGATAGGGAAATTACATTCTGCCTTAAAAGTTAGTATGGTTAAGTTTCAATTATTAGATAGATAATTGGCACACGAATTGCGGCTTTATAATTAGGCTCAGAAAACAATTGTTATGAAATCCTGTTATATAGTATCATTTATATCAGACAGCAAAGTGTATGTTTGTGTAGTATGTATTCACCT